AGTTTCTAGGCCCCTGGCCAGTTTTATGACCTTCACCAAATTCACTCTTCTCTGAGTATTGGTTGTGTCATCTATACAAGATATTTCACAAGTAGGATTTTTAGGAAAAAAACACATGGTTCAAAATCTGGAAAGGAGTGTGCCAGGGATGTGTTCTGTCTCTATACCTTTTCAATCAATATGCAGAACATATCACGTGGGAGGCTGGACTTTATGAGCATCACTTTATGTGGCATCACGATTGGAGGAAGACTCATCAACAGCTTACATTATACAGATGATGCAGTCTTGCTTACTGAAACTAAGGAGGATCTGAAGCACTTGCTGCAGAAGGTCAAGGACTGTGATCTTCAGTATGGATTGAAGTTCAACATCAAGAAGACAAAGATTTTCACCACTGGGCCAATTGGCAGCATCATGATAGATGGAGAAGAGATTTAGGTTGTCAACAGTTATAGCTTGCTCAGCTCCACAGTCAACACTCTTAGCACCAGCAGTCAGGAAATCAAAAGACAAATTGCATTGGGAAGGTCTGCTATCAGGGACCTCTCCAGAATGCTGAAGAGCAATGATGTCAGTCTAGAGACTAAGGTGAGTCTGATCCAGACCATGGTCTTAGTAGTTAACTTGCTATGCATCAGAGAGCTGGACAGTCACTAAGGATGACAAAAGAAGAATCAGTGCCTTGAATTGGTGCTGGAGCATGGTCTTGAGCATAGCATGGAATGCCAAGAAAACAAATAAGTCTGTCTCGGAGAGGCTCAAACCAAGTTTCTCCGTGGAGGCTAGGAATTTGAAGCTCCATCTCACATACTTTGGGCAGGTGGCCAGGAGGGACTGGTCTTTCGGGAAGGACATCATGTTTGGCGGGGTGGAGGGACAGCACAGGAAGGAAGACCCCAGATGAGATGGACTGATACAGTAACTGGAGTAATGGGGGTAGGTGTGTTTGAGTCAGTAAGACTGGCTGAAGACAGGGCAGGGTTCAGAGCTGTTGTACATAGGCTTGCTATGAACCACAGGTGACTTGGTGGCACATAACAATAATAACAAACTTGATTATATATAAGCCTGTTTTATTGTTTCTCACATAATTTTGATTTTACTTCTTTTCCTACCAGAAAAAAAAGCGCCAAGTTTGAAGCATACATTACCATGTTATTGCTTTTTTAAATTATTTCCATGAATGTTTTACACAATAAATGAGGAAAAACAGTCCATCAGAGGAAAAGGAAAACCTCCTCCCATCTCTGACACCCAGCTTCCTCTCCAAAGACTCCCACGGCTACCAATTTCTTATGTATTTTTCTAGAGTTATTTGGTTCATATACATTACATAAACCACAGCTAATATGCACAGGCACACAAATCTGGTTTTGTTCCCCCCCTAGTCTGAACAATGTATCTTAGGGATTGTTCCATATAAATACTTAGGGAACTGCACAGATTGCCTCTAAATGGATCACCTATAATCTCCCACTGGTGGATATTAAAATGGTTTCTAAGTTTTTTTTTCTCTTATAAACAATACTGCTATTAGTATCTTCAAACAAACTTCTCTGCTGATGTATGTGTTTTACTTTGAAAAGGAAGTCACTGTCTAAATTCCACTCTTTCTCAGTCTCTACAATTAATAACCAGAACTGTTTAGTCTGAATGTTTGAGTTTAAATTAAAAAAAAAAAACAAACAGCTTCTCCATCCGTCTTTTCTATGGATGGTTCTGCGAGGCCTGTTCTTTCAGAGACCAACAATGGTGATTTTTTTAGAGTTTATCTAGATAGGGATTCAGATGGTAGGAGAATCTGCCGAGCAATATCTTGTTGTTGTATGAAGATAAATGACAGTAGGTTGTGAATAGCCCTCATGCCCCCTTTGGCCCACTCATGAGGGTTGTATGCCAGTCTCTGAAGATGAATGGTCCTGCTTCAGTCTCTAATGCAGAGGATTTTGAGACTGGAAATACTTAGTCTACATATTTTTCTTATAGATACAAATAGGCACCCTTTTTGGCCTATATTGTTGTTGTGTGCCATCGAGTAGTAAATGACTTACAGCTGACCCTCCAGTGGGTTTTCAGAGACGGTAAATCACATGGGAGGAGAAGCCCATCCTTCTCCCTTGGAGTAGCTAGTGGATTTGAACTGTATGCCTTTGGCATCGTAGGAGAGCTTCTTACCACCAAAAATCTCCATTTTTTGGTCTATAGACATTATATAAGAAAAATAGGTATATATTTTTCCCCCAACAGATTTAAAAAATGCTTCTTCCTTGACATAATCACCATCTTCCTTTGTGCCTACCTCCTCTGACCTGAAATGTTTATGACTTAAGCCTTTTGGGTTTCTGATTTGATCTTAATTGAATGCATAATCCCTGACTTTGCTCCATGATTTGATAAACCATAGTTTGGTTTTTCCAACAGAGATTCTAATTATGCTCTAATAAAGTATGTTGTTGTTGTTATTGTTGTTATGTGCCGTCGAGTCACAGGCGACTCATAGCGACCCTATGAACTAAAGTCCTCGAGAGTTGCGTGACTTTCATCCTTTCTCCACTAATAAAGTATAGGGAAGAAATATTCATTTCAGATAATGTTATATCAATCATATTAATTTGATTGGTCTTTCTTCCTCTCTCCCTTCCCACTTCCTTTCCCACTTCCTTCCCCACTCCCCTAGATTTCAGACTCAGAGCACAAGACATGCCCCCCCTGCTTCTATCCTTCCATCAGGTGACTTGACTTACTTGGCTCTTGCTGTGGGTCGAGGATGATGCTAGGAGCTGGGTGTCTTTTGTGGTAGGGTTAATTCTGGAAAGAAATCCTAAAACATTTAGGTAACATGTCTGAAATATGTTTAGCTTCACCCCTAGTATTTGTTATTAAGCAGAAGCTTGTCCATTTATCCAAACCTCTGATGGCCGAGCGGCAAGAAGCTGTGCTGTAATTCCGAAGGCCTGTGGTTCGAGGCCATCAGCTGCTCTGCGGGAGAAGAATGGGCAATCTGCTCCCGTGCAATAAACTGCCTCTGAAAACCTGCTGGGGACAGGACACAACAACCATCGCCCTGACCCTGCACAGTCTTTGAGCCCATGCCCTTAATGTCTTGGCCCACTGTGGAGGCTCTAACCCTTTGTGACTAAAAGCAAGCTTATTTACAGGTTTGCTCTTGATTTCCACAGTTTTCCTTGTTCTTTAGGCTGAGGCATGACAGAAGGTAGCCAGGGCCACCTGAAACTACAGGTGGATGAGGCATCCGGCGGCCTCAACCTTGGGTCTAGTTCTGCCTGAATCTAACCGAGGCATTCCATTTATTTCTCTGGGTGATAGTTCCTTTTCCATAAAACAGAGGGGGCGGATTAGACCGCGCCTGAAGTGTTCCCTACGCAGGCTAACATTCTAGCCATACAAACCACACATATAATCTATCTCATTCCTTCATATATTCCTTCCACCAGCCTGTTCATTTCTGTTATCCAACTTCAAGTCTAGTGCTTGATACACTGCAAAAATGCAATAAATATTTGAGTCCGTTTATGGATGAAGAAATCAATTTTTTTTTGTCTTGTTTTCACTCTTTTCCCAAGAAGGTGCCTACTTAAGAATTCTTTAAGGAAATTCTTTTTCAAGGATTTAAAAAATTTTTTTTCTTCAGTGTTAGTACTATCTTTAGAATATGTACATCTATACATTGATTTTTCAGATGTGTATATGCATATACATATATGTCCACACATACTTATTCACTGGTTCATATGTATTTATTTACATCCCAGAATCTAGCCATGTGATTCTCTTTTCACGCAATCTACTTTATTAGCTAGCTGTAAAAACTACCAGGCCATGATACACAAGTCTGACTTTAGTGCCATTTGAAATGTAATGCACATATATAGTGGACTGAGTTATTTGATGACTTAATTACAAAATATGTGGCTTCATAACGTCTATTCAAAACTGAAGATCTAAAGTATTTAACTTTCAAATTTTCAGTAAAATATATCATTCATTTTGTCCTTTGAAAGTACTCATATCAAATACAGCAAAATTTGAGGTATTTTTCTCAGAAATCAGGTGAGCATATAAAATTATACCTTAATATAATTAGTCCTTGGTTCTGACAATGTGTAAATAGACCAAGAAACATATTTTTTTGGTTGTTACTGAAGTTAAGCAAAGTTGATAAATTGCCTTGAACAAACTAGCATTTTAAAAAACTCATTTTGTAACGGGCTGCCAAAGATAGAATTAGCCAAAGGATGGAAAGTTCTTTCCTAAAGTAAAGTTCTCTGTGCAGATACAAAAAATGCTGATAAAAGTAGAAAGAGAATTTTCAAAAGCATCTACACTCTCAGTGCAATTATTCAACCACAGACATAGTTAGCATTTTTCTATCATTTCTTATTCATTGATTCTCCACCCCCCCACCCCCCCACGCTCTTTGCCAATATTTGTTCCTGAACTTAACTCATAAATCTTTGGGGTATCACTTTTTAACAAAGCCTTCACACAGTGATGGCTGGGCATAGGACTTTTATGTAGGTGCTATGTTTTACATATCAGTTATTGTTCCATTCATCTATTATTGTATACCCACCACTCCTTAGCATTGCCAAAACCATACAAATTGTCTCTAAAAGTACACACATACCCAGATGTCCTGGTGAAATGATAAGTCATGCTAGCCTTTGTAGATTTTACTTTTAACTCCTTTACTCTGTGAAAGGTTGGTCGTATATTCCAGACACAGGAAAGGTATGACATAAGATTTTAAATGAAATACATGGACAGAGATGAGGCAAGTCAGGAGTAGGACTATTATCTGAGATTCTGTAAATTGAATTAAGGTAATAATTTCTTAAACAGTAATGATTAACAGTGAGGTACTCTGGAATGAATCTCAGGAATCTATATTCCAGAGTCCACAGGGTTCAGAAGGTCTCTTTTTGATAATGTATTATAGGCCCAGTTATTAATCTGTATATTCTTTCCTCTTGTAGTGATGAATCATCAACACCAGCAGCAAATGGCTCCCAGCAGCCTGAGCCAGCAGACCCACCCTCCTCAGAACCCAGCAGGACTCATGGGCATGCCCAACGCGCTGACCTCCCAACAGCAGCAACAGCAGAAACTGAGGCTTCAGAGGATCCAGATGGAGAGGGAGCGAATCAGAATGCGCCAAGAGGAGCTCAGGAGACAGGTATGGCCTTCGCAGCGGCTGGTGGAGGTCCCCGGCCTCTGGTGGCAAGGCTGATCGTGTGTGTTTACAATCAGGTGAACCTAGAAAACAATGACGGCCTGAAGCTTCACTCTAATCCTCATGGTTAAAAACCCAGTTTCTTTGCCCGACGTTCTGTTTGCACTGTCTTCAAAATCAAGTATATGAGTAGGAGGTCTAGTTTTGTTACTGATAAAAATGCTTGCCTTTGACTTCTACTGCTAGTCCTTATAAATAGAAAAGAGTAAATGGAGCCAGAAGGGCATGTTTCAATTATCTCTTGCTGCATAACAAATTTCCCCAAAACCTACTGGCTTAAAACAATAGTCATTTTCTTATATCCCGTGACTATGTGTGGGTGGTTTCTGTGAGGCTAAACAGTGTGACACTGATGTGTCAAATGAGACAGTGGTTACCCATGGTGGACAGTGTTTGGTGGAGCGCCCCGGTTAAAACAGGCTTGGAAGCAGGAGTGGCATCCACTTCTGAAGTGGCTTGCCTCTGGAAACTGTACGTACTTAAAGCAACGATCAAAGTTATGCAAATGTTCAGGCCTTTCGTTCATAGAGTCGCTATAAGTCATCAACGACTTAGACAACACAACAACAACAACAGTACATGGGTCAGGACTTTGGCCAGGGCAGGGCTATTCCTTTGCTCTGTGTGATGTCGGCTAAGGTCACTGGGGTGGGCTGGGCTGGAGATGGCATCACTCCAGTGTGTCCTCACCCGGCTGAGGACAGCTAGAAGATGAGCGTTAGCTCGGACTAATGCCTGGAGCGTCCACATGTAGCATCTCCAGCATGGAAGTCTCAGGGTAGAGTGACTGTTAATGTGGCAGTTCCTGTCTCTCTAGAAGTGAGGTTCCAAGAGACAGGACAAGGGAGCTTCTAAAGCCCTGGCTTTGGAAATTCTTACAGAGTCACTTTTCTTAAGTAGTCACAGAGCCCATCCATATGTAAAGCAAATACTAGAGAGGACATTCTATGGAAAGATGAAGAAGAAGAAGGGGGGAAAAATGTGCAGCGTCTTTGATTCACCACAATCCATGAGAAAAAATTGGGGAAAGCAAAGGGAGAAGGAAAATGGTTTGTACCAAGGATCCATGTGCTCTGCACCATCGCCTAGACATAGACTGGCAGTGTGCTCTGTTCACTGGCGTGGTTAGCAGTTGACAGAATGTTGCTGTGTGTCCACTTGGGGTCAGTTCAGTGCTACACTTCAGAAACATGAATGAGAAAGAGCCTTGAAGGAACCCACAAGTTTCTCTGTTTCATGCCTTGATTGGTCTGTGGGAGAACAGAACGCTTTCTTCTGTATTGCAAACTAACGCAACTCATGCTTGCAAATCTCATAAATTTTACTGCCTGTATTTTGGGGAGGAAAGCCTAAGTTTATTGTTCTAATTCTTCAGATTTCACTTCATGACTCATATGGAGCAATGGTTTCCTCTCTCTGTTTTTAAAAACATAGATTATTTTAACTGCTATAGTGAATTTAGGGAGCTCTGGTGGCCTAGTGGCAAGAAGCTGAGCTGCAGTCTCAAAAGCACGTGGTTCGAGGCCATCAGATGTTCTGTGGGAGAAGGATGGGCAGTCTCCTCCTGTATGATTAACTGCCTCTGAAAACCCACCAGAGAGACAGCTATGGGTTGATTCCAACTCTATGGTACAAACTAACAACAACAACAACAAAACCCTTTATTTTGGTACAAGGGATATTAGAATAAACATACAGAGAGAGATACAGATCCAAGAATATGTATTTGTTGTTGTTTTTCTATCGAATGCTTTCAAAGGTACACATTGACTATAATAAGTGAGTGTTGTGTTTCTCATCAGACAAGTTCTAGGGCATGTATACTATCTTATGTAGTTTAAATGCATAGTGAATGAATTTCTTAAACATAGTCTCCTCAAATGAGGGAAATGGCCATAAATTGTGCTTTACTGTTAAGCTGAACTTTACTCCAAATTTAAGGGATACAAATTTATACTATAACTACCGTTTTACCATACCGCGAGGATTTGTGTCTGAATTTTCCTGGTTACTTCAGAGTAACAGTTGTTTGTATGGTTTTTAGAAATACCAATATCATGTTTCTCAGCAGGAAATCATTGTATCATTGTTTTCTATCTTTGAGCAGTAATTCTACTTGGGATAATTTTTCTGTTTTATAAAAGTCATGACACAGCACTATAGCAACATTTAGAATTCCTAGTGTGGATTTACATGAGCCTTAGTTAATTTGTGTTCATTTGGTTTGGTTCCTACTCAAGGATGTGCCAGTAACACAAAGAATTTTGGCTTCTCCCTTTCTCTGTTTCTCACTGGCTCGCCCCACCTCCTCTTTTCCCACAGAAAGTATTTCTGAAAAAGGGGTGGGGAGGAGTGCCCTAAATTATTTTCTTTATTCAAACTGTAGGTGCCTTTGAACCAGAATGCAATACTGATGGTTCATATTACAGAAATGCCAACCGAGTTCTTTAAGTGCTGTCCCCTCAGGGCTGTGGAGCTCCGAGTATTTTGCTGCATCATAGCCTGTAATTCCACTGTGTGTCCAGATTCTGTTAAAGAGAGAAACTTACTAAATTTGAGAGAGAGAGGAAGAGTAAGATGTTAGGAAGAGGAGATGGAATGGGTAGGTCTGATCTTCCCATTTTATCATGGGATACAGGGGGAAAAATCCAAATCCACTTTTTAATCATGGAAGTCTCTCCCCACCCCCATCTAGAATCAGCCTGCTGCTTGTCATCAAAGACACTATGTAGACCCAAACCAATGGTGTTGGAGAGTTCTATGATCGTTTTCTGAGTGCTCATCAAGGTGCCTAATTATTCAGTTGTGGATTTTATGTATCATCCTGGTGTCTTTTCATTCGGTTTTGGCTTTGTTTATTTTGTTTAACTTCTTTCTTTTGGTCACGTACTTTACTCTTTGGACCGAGGCCAGGGCACATTCAAGAAAATGGACTAGAGTGTAAGTGGCATCTGACCTGCCTGTTTAGCTGCCTTCCCGCGTCTGGCAGGGATTGCGGAAGTAGTTGTCCAGCTGAGATTTGAAGATATTCTGTAGACTATTTTGGCGATTCCTTCCCACTTCAATGCCCTCGGGGTGGCAGCAGCTGCCGGGAGATTCTTGGTCCTCCAGACACTTTGCCACTCAGTTGTTCCCCTCTCCCTTGTTACACAGCCTGCCTTCTCAGGGCTGTGAGTGACCCTTCAGTCAGGTCTGCATCTGTCCTAAGAGGATATTCAGGTGACAGTCCTATTCTTTGCATTTTCTTTTTTAATTTTTTTATTATTATTAATTTTAATGAAAGTTTACAGAGACTGAGGATTTCCATTCATTCATTGTTGCACTTTTCTCTCTGCCCACCCCTCCCCCTGCCAGTACACTCTTCTCTTTGAAAATTAGAAGAAAAAATCTTTCATTGTTTACAATCCCTCCCCCCAGGTCCACTCCACTATGCTGCCTTCACTCTGGACTCCTGTCATGACAATAATACCTAATCACATATCCCTTTTACACAGTTTTCTCCCTCATCTATTTCAATGCAGTGTACATTATTTATCCCCTCTTTTTCAGTCTCTCCCCAACCCCGATGTCAGTCCTGTTTTGCAACAGTGGCACTATGCAGTTTTTATCCTTTTGTGACCAAGATATTTCACTCAGCATAATGTCCTCCAGGGTCATCCATTTTGCATAATATTTCATGAGTTGCTTGTTTTTCAGTGCAGCATAGTATTCCATTGTGTGAATATACCACAGCTTCTCTATCCATTCATTTGTTGATGGGCACTTAGGTTGTTTCCAACTCCTTACTATTGTGAATAAAGCCACAATAAACATGGGTGTGCATATATCTGCTTGGGTGGCAGTTCTGGTTTCTTTGGGGTATATTCCCAGTAGTGGAATTGCTGGGTCAAATGGTATCTCTATTTGCAACTTTTTGAGAAAGCGCCACACCACCTTCCACAGTGGTTGCTCCTGCATTTTCTATAACAGCAAGGGTGAACGGAAACATTTAATAAGTAGATGATGAATGTAAAGACACCATATACATTGTTATGTGCTGTACAGGGGAGCTCTGGGGCCTATGAGGAGGGAGTTCAGCTGCCAGCCCAAAGGCGCACATTTTCAATCTCCCAGCTGCTTTGAGGGAGAAAGGCAGTTAATCTCCTCTCATGTGACTTATAGCCTCTGAAAAAAACAGAATCAGCTATGAAACAGTTTCGGCTCCACAGCGCATCACAACAACAATAATAGCATACAAGGTGGCTCTGGTGGTATAGTTGGCTAACCCAAAGGCTTTTTCAAACCTACCTGTGTCTCCATGGAAGAGGAATGGGCAGTCTCTTCCCATGTGACTTTACAGCCTAAGAAAGCCCATGGAGGGGCAGTCACGAGTCGGTTCCGTCTCAACAGTGATGTTATGTGCCTGGGAGTTGTTGGATGACTCACAGCTGAGCCTCTGGAAGGTTTTAAGAGGCAGTAAATCCCACTGGAAGAGATTACTCATCTTTCTCCTGTGAAGCAGCTGGCAAATTTGAACCTCACGCCTTTGGTCTGGCAGTGCAGCTCCTTACCGTGAGGCCATCAGAGCTCCCTCAGCAGCAGTGAGTTGAGTATATAAATTTTCAACTTCATTTCTTCCTCTGCTTTTCCCTTCCCGTTTCCCTGTTCCTCTAGGGATACACACATACTTGTTACTTCTCAATTTGTTCCTCATCTACCATTTCACACTTTCAACAGTCTTGAAAAAGCTCAAATGACTAGCAGACTACTAACAGATACCGATTTATGAAGGTTAAGGTCATGTACCAACTTACCGAGGCTGTGATTCTCAGTGGATGTGATGAATTTTATTATCAAATATAGAATCATATAATGTGGCAGTTATGCAATGATGTAGTCATGTTCCCTTTTGGGAAGCTGAATTTCTGTATGACATCAATTTTCTTTTATTTTAACCAAGTTTC